GCAGGGACGACACGGCGGCGCAGGCGAGGGCGGCAGCGACGGCAAGACACGTGGGAGGCCTAGGACAAGACGCTGACTAGACATAGCGCGCAGACGTGGAAGGGACGGGTGCCCCATCCGGTGGTGCCACAGAACGGTGGGGTGGGCAAGCGACCGGCAGGAGCACGACGCAGCGACTGGAACAGACGTAGGAACCTGACACGACACAGACACCTGGGGGGACGTAGCAACCTGGTGAGACGCGGGGACCCGAACGGGGGGGGGAACCGGGGGCAGTGGCAGTAGGGGGGGCTTCTGGTGCGGCCGCTGGTGCTGCTGCTGCTGCTGCTGCTGCTGCGGCTGCGGCTGCTGCTGCTGCTGCGGCTGCTGCTGCGGCGCACGCGGGCCAGTGTGAAGAGTGTAGAGACCCGAGCCCGGCTCAGCAGTAAAGGTAGCAAGAGGCTGGTAAGAGTCTCCGTCAACACACACCGCAGTCTCTCCAGAAGGCTCAAACCACACACCCACGTGCTGACTCACGAGGGGTCGCACGCCCACCAAGTTCCGGGAGAACGAGGGGACGTGAAACCCAGTGAGAGACCCGGAGGGAGCAGCAGGACACGGTAAAGTGGTAGTGTGACGTGCAGTGACTGGTCCCGTAGTGGGATCAGCCAACGCTACAGAAACAGGCGCAGGAAGTGGTGTAAGTGTCGTGCTGTCCCGAAAGAAGCAGTGGGAGGCTCCAGAGTCCAGTGTGAACGACAGCGAAGCGTCCTCTGAGGTAGTCGCTGGTCTAGAGTCTACACAAGTACCTACACTAGCAACAGGCAACTGAGCAAGACTAGCACCTAAGCTAACAACACCAGAGTAAACAGAGTCAGAAACACTAGAGTCAACAACAGCATACATAGCATGAGGAGCACTAATCAGATCAACTAACTGCTCAGCAGACATGCCCCACAGAGCGGAGCCGTGGCGCTGAACCAGAGGAAGCCAGTCAGGAGCAGGACCGCCAACCCCGTAGGTCAACCGGACCGTGTCAGTGAGCTGAGCAAAGCACTGACCAGGGGGGTGAAAGCGGCCACAAGGGTGGCCCCGACGAGGACCTGTCTGAACCTGGTAGGGGCAGGGAGGGTAAGCAGCACCGCGCTGGGGCTGACGCAGCCCCGACCCCGGAGCCAGCTGCTGACGCTGCTGCTGCTGAGGCTGCTGGGAGGAAAGGGGCTGCTGCTGCTGCTGAAGGTGCTGCTGACGCTGAGCCTGGTACCACGCCGCTGCTCCACCTAGCGGGGCCGGCAGTACAGGAGGCGACTGACGAGCTCGAGGGTCGCCGCCACCAGCAGGTGCAGTGGAGTCACCAGCCGCTGCACGAGGGGTCTCTCCAGACGCTGCACTCCCACCACCGCCAGTCGCAACAGCACCCCCACTACCTCCGCTACCTCCGCCTCCACCTCCACCGGAACCACCTTTCTTGCCCCCCCTGCCGCGGGACCGCGACGCAGTCGTAACAGCAGCCGTAGTCGCGTCAGTAGCGGCAGTGGCAAGAGAGGCAGTGAAGGTGGGTAACTGCGGGACTGTGCACCCGTGGAAGAGTGGGGGGGACACAGTACGAGAGGCGGCAGCTACCGAACGAAGGTTGCTCTCGACGTCCTTAAGTGCAGACTCAAGGACCTCGATAGTCAGCTCACTAGGGTGCTTCAGCAGAAGCGCGTCACGAACGTAGGCAAGGCGGTCAGGGAGGCTAGTGGGGATGAAATAGACAGTAATCGCCATGGGGGGAGGAAGCAGTGCAAGCTGTGCCTCAGTGCAAGCAGCGCGGTAACTAGCGTCGAGCGAGCGGAGGTGAGCGATCAAGTCAGCAGAGCGCTCAAACGAGGCAAGATCAGGAAACAGGAACGGGAGGAAAAGACGGCCGAGAGAGACAGTAGCGGGAGTAGAGTAGCGGGCCTTAATCGCAGTGAGGTACGCAGCAGCGGTGCGAACCTGAGTAAAGTGGACCTCCTCGGACTCAGGGAGGAGGCTGCTGAGTGCGATGCAGGCCGCAGCGTCACGCGACGTCCAAGCCGTCCGGTCAGCGCGCTGACGGGCAAAGCGAGCCGTAGCAGCGTCGTCAGGAGCAGGGCCTAAAGCGGTAGGCTCGGGGGGCTCGGGGAGGTCACCAGTAGCGTGTGACCAGAGGGTCTCGCCCCCCTGGACCTGACTCTCTAACAGACGACGAGCGCGAAGAAGCCAGACGGAAAAGTCAAGGGGTCTACCGTCAGCGTCGAAACGAAGAACTCGCGGAGTCGCCATAGTGAGAACCAACGCGAACGAACATGCGAGTAACAACCGGGGGGGAAGAGGACTCAGTCGCAGCGGAAGAGCGGGCTAGGGCGACGGGCCAAAACGTAGGGTAGGGCAACGGGCCAGGGCCTAGGGTAGGGCGACGGGCCAGAGCCTAGGGAGGGCGACGGGCCAGGGCCTAGGGAGGGCGACGGGCTAGGGCCTAGGGAGGGCGACGCGACGGGAGAAAGGGCGGGAGCGACGCGACGGGGCAGGGCGACGCGACGGGACAGGGCGACGCGACGGGGCAGGGCGGCGCGACGGAGCAGGGCGACGGGACAGGGCAGGGCGACGCGACGGGGTAGGGCGACGCGACGGGACAGGGCGACGGGACGGGACGGGACGGGACAGGGCGACGCGACGGGACGGGACAGGGAGACGCGACGGGACAGGGCGACGCGACGGGACGGGACAGGGCGACGCGACGGGACAGGGCGACGGTACGGGACAGGGCGACGCGACGGGACAGGGCGACGGGACAGGGCAGGGCGACGCGACGGGACAGGGGGGGAACAGGCGGGCGCGACGCGACGGGGGGAACAGGCGCGACGCGACGGGGGGAACGGGCGCGACGCGACGGGGGGAACGGGCGCGACGCGACGGGGGAGATGATGCTAGGCTCGGTACTAGGCGCGGTAACAACTAAACTGGTACGAACGAGAGGTAGGATCAGGCTCGGGAGGTACGAACGGAGAACGGAGGAACGGGATCCCACAGGATCCTAACCTAGCTGATACCATGTCAGAATGAGGAATGGATGTTGCATTGATGTTGGTTGGGGTACATATGACAAACCCTAACTTCTGTACCCCCTAAGACAAACCTCACTACAGGCTACAACATTTGACAATTTGCAACTGCCACCCCCTGCTCCTGTGGCACCTCCAGCTGCAGCCCCTGTTGCCACTTAATTCGTCTCTTTCGTTTGCTGCTGTTGAGCGGCAGGTGCTGCCGTTGAGCCTGCTGTGCCGCCGCTTGTTGCCGCCGCACGCCGCTCTCCAGGCGACCTGCGCCACATGCACCTTTCTTTCGTTTCTGTATTGGCTAAGGGGTTTCTGCTGTTGTTTCGGCCACTGCTGCACTGGTTGTCATTGCTCTTGCGTGCTAATGCTTTCAGTACACTTGCAGGTTGTGATTTATGCTTTGCTATTCCTGCATGCAGTTAAGGGGGGATGTCAGAGTTATATTATTGTAACTGCATGTAGATATAGCAGTAGTGTAGTTATCACATTCTGTTTGGTGGATTACCCCCTTTCCTATCATATTTGTACCCTTAGCTCTATAGTGAAGTCCTCTTTCATTGCCAACTCCCTCACACTCTACCTCCTAGCATGGCTCCTAAGGCTAAACCCTAGCAACATATCCTGACACCTCCCCAACCTCAATTGGTTGCAAGCTGTGGCGAAATCGCGAAAGGAACCCCAACCTCACGAAATTAGAGCGTGTTCCTATCCTCGTATCAAGATAACCTCGTATCAGGCTCACACTAAAAATTATCCTAAACCCAAAACCTCTCGCTAGTTTTACCAGGCAAAAACAGCATTCTTGATATGAGGTTTCCGGATATGAGGCCGTAGGAACACGCTCTTAGTATCCCCCAACCGAGCCTTGCACAAAACTGGCGGGATTCGCCAGTTGTGTTTGAAACTTTCGCGCCCTGATTTTTGGAAAAGGATCATTTCGTGAGCAGATCAGACTGTGTCCTAGGGTGTGCAACCGAAATATCCCCAGAAAATACCATTTAGAATGTAGACGGCAAACCTGGTCCAAATCTGGTCTATTGCGAGCCAGCAATTTCGCGCAGGCAAACCTGGTCCAAATCAAAGGTTAAATATCTCTGCTTGCCTAAAGTTTACCCAAAGGCAATTGCGTATTTCGGTGAAACAAAATTGATGCCCTTTTTGTGGGTAGTAAAGGTACCCACGACCAATTTCTATATTGATTGTAACATCTATATACAGCACTATGTCCGCCTTATTCAGTGTATATTTTACGACATAATATCCTTTTTCTGTGCTGGAGCCAGCTCTGCCTTGGCCTTGTGGACTATGGGGTGGCTTTTCGTTTCCGAGTCGCATCCCCATCTCCGCCCAGTTGCACCAACTGGCCCGGCGCTGCTTTGCGATTGTGGGGAAAACAACGAGCGCCAATCAGCTACGGACCGCTATTTCCCACCACACCCCATGCTCGTGGTGGCTGATTCTGCTCCTGCCACACCCCATAAGATCGCGGCGATTCGACGGGGAACGAGGGCGGTGTAAGAACCGCGCTGAATGCATACAGTATCACACTAAAAACTACCGATACTGCACTGTAACGTACAAAACGCTCTAACCCTCAACTTTTGTCATCATCTGACAGCGTTGTTTCCACCGCGACGCGGTTATGATAATGCCCATGCTCCTCGATTTGGTCAATGTTGGGCTGAGAGAATGCTTATTTTACTTCGCTCAATTCCCATCCATCTTTTCTTATACTAATATATATTTCTACGATCACCATCCCTCCTTGCGCTTCGAACAAACCTCCGCGTCTTTCCTGTCTCGTTCCTGTCTTTCCGTACAATCGACTGCATCTACTAGCCTATTCTCGCGAAACTGGTCCTACTTTGACACGGCACTTTACGTAATAGTGGTCCAGTGCTGTTCCATAGAACGTCCTTTCTTACTCCCAATTCCCGACGCGTCACGCCTTCTACCACCATGAACAAAAGAACGTCCCTTACGTTTCTTACCATCGCAGTATCTCTTACCCTATGCTTCGCGGACCTCTGCCCGAAGTTCGAATGCGGCGAGGGTACGTTTCGGCGAGGCAAGTTCATTGACGTCACAGCAGCAGATCGTACGGAGGGCTCCACACGCTTCCTGGTCGAGGCGTTCTTCACGGCGACGCAGATGTACAACTACCTCGAGTTCAATGTAACGGGAGATGAAACGCTCGCGCACCCCGAGGTCGAGTGTCATCGCTACTGCTCCGCGTACAACGCGCAACTTCGTAACAAGGTCCCCGAGCTGGAGGCGAAATACTGGATGTTCGAACAAACGTGCGAAGAGGGCAACGGAGGTTTGTATTGTCTTTTTTAATGTCCAATAACCCATCGCCGCAGCAACCTCTCTCCTTCCCCCTTCCCGGTGATACTAAACCATGACAGTGCATCTCCTTCGCTCAGGCTCCGCCATTTCCACCACTTATCGTTATCCAAGCCTTCCCCTCCGCCAATTCGCGTGCCGTGTGCGCGTGTCGATGGCACGTGCGCGTGCGTGTGTGCAGGGATCTGCACGTGCTTCAACGCGGACGCGTGCGTGGACGAGTGGAGCTTCAGCCCCGCGTGGATGGAGCCTGCGGAGGGCCTGGGCACGGACCGCGTCGAGCCGGCTTCCAACTGGACCGTTGGATCGCTCTGCACCGCCAACGAAAAGGGAGACCCGCATTTCACAGGCGCCGACGGCTCGCATTTCGACTTCAGCGGTACGGCTACTTGGCTACTGCTATTACTTCTATGGCTCAAGCGACCTTCGCATTCGCTCGGGTATCCATTATTGAAGCGTATATTAGTTTCAACGGGTTTCGTGAATCTTGGACTCGCCCTGGTCAAAATCCCGCTTCCCTCCCTTACCCCGTTCGTCACCCAGGCCGGCCCAATCGCAATTACGCGCTAATATCCGACGCCCACGTCCAGGTCAACGCGTTCTTCGGCGGGCGCTACGGCGTTTGGGCCAATCACGCGAAGGCGCTGACGTGGATTAGATCTCTCGCCGTCATGACCGGCCACCACCTCCTCATCTTAGACGCACGCCGCGGCGCCTCTGCGGAATACGGCGACGGCTACTTAGCTCGTATGGTAGTTGACGGCAGAGTTAGGGAGTTAGACACCCCTGGAACTAGCGTCCATCTTTGGCCGGGAGCGGAGCTAGCGTGGGTTGTGGGGGGGAAGCGAGACGGGAACGATCTGATCGACGTGTACGAACTGAGAGTGGCGAATGTGGTAACCCTTCGCGTCACGCTACGACCGGAAATCGCGGCGATGCGCACGGCGACGGATGGGACAGTGCACATGTCGATCGGCGTGGATTGGGCGAGCCTTTCGCCCTCCGTGCACGGCGTGTTGGGGCAGACGTTCCGACCTGACTTCATCGGACGGCTGTGAGCACTCCTTTGACACGCGCTTTCATGAACATGGTGGTCGTTAGCGTGTTGTGGCAATTTGCGTTGATAGATTCTCTTTAAACGCCTCGTGATTTTCTGCCTGTTTTGCTTGGCTTCGGTGTCACCTCTACAACCGTGTACCACTGCTACACATCCCACGCTTTCTTTCCTCACAGCTGCTCATGCTCGGAAGGGAGCAGGAAAAACACAGGACTGAAGCCTCCTCCACAACATTCCTCATTCTGCCTCCTGCATTTCCTTCTCTTCTCTGCTCCTCCATTCTCCTCCTCACTACTTCCTTCCCCACACCCCTCCCCCCTTTCACCCCCTGCCTCCGGCTCCGCCCTATATCAGAGCCCAGCAGCAGCTAGTGCACAGCGATGTATTACACGAGGACGTGGTGCCAGGGGACAACGCGGAGGGCTTCATAGACGGCACGGTCAAGGACTACCAGGTGTCAGCACTCAGCAAGGCGGACTGCCGCTTCTGCCGCTTCGCCCGCGCACAACTGGTAGATGAGGAGATGGCACGGGCGCTCGAGCTGACGGGAGGGTTCTTGCACGCAGGTGTAGGGGTGGTGGGCGGTGGTGGGTACGGCATGAAATTGCGAGGCGGGCCATTCTCTTCAGGGGAGGCTCTGTTGATGGATGCGGAGTGAGCGAGACTTGGTGTGAGTGACATTTGGGCCGGCCGCATAGGTGGTGGGTGTGAGTATGGCATGGTGGACGACTGAGCAGGAAATCTCCTTTATCCAGATAAGGTTCTGCGCGCCTTGCTGCTGGGGCTACTTCTCATACCAGCTCGGGAGGATGCACAGCCCAATAAGTGGGCACTTGCCTGCGGGTCTGCACACAGCAGTGCAGTGCATATCATTGAAGACAGTAGGCTGGGGTAAACTGTACAACCTTTTGTTGTGTCACCCGCAGATGCCAGCTGCATGGCATGTGCTGCCAATAAAGGGCGCACCAAAGGACCAATAGCAGAAGCCATAGTTGCTGTCTGCTATGGCTGTTTTTGTTATCCAATAAATCAAGATTGATTATTGAATGCTTCGCAATGCTGACAGTGCTGTTGCTGCTGTGACAAAAAATCGGTCCTAAGCGCCTCTGTCGTGTCGAAACACTAAGGCACAAGCGAAGCGAAGCATACCGAAGCACCGGCGAGTCAAACCTCGGAGGTTGAAGTAACCGCTGGAGGTTACTCGAAAGTCAAAGGTCAGCGACCTTTGACCTGACAAGTACAGCGCGACAGCAAGGACACACAACTGACTCGCTACAGAGCAGTTGCCCGAGTCGTCACTGTATCGAACCGCAACAGCAACAGTAAAAGTAGTTACAACCGTATCTCTTCGCATTCCTTGTACTCTTATATATTCTTGTATCTCTTTGCTTCAATCAACTTGCTTTGCCCTCACATACTAGCGCAAGGTGGTTCAGAATCCCTTTATTAAAACGCATTCCGCTACTACATCACTCTACCCAGAGATTAACCCTACCAAAGATCCTAAGGGGCACTCAGCCCAACAACTTCAACATGATTTACGGTATTGATTACTACACATGCCTGCTTTGAGAAACTCATACCTGCGTTGCCACAAATACCACCTCCGGAAGTGGTGGGTTACGGACCTGGCAAAGCCTCCATAAAGGCGGGCCAGCGGTTAGTCCTAATGCCTCGCGGTGTAAAACGGTAAAAACTGAAAACTGCTGTGCGCCGATTGATTGTCTTACACGCTGGATCCATGCTGGGATTTAGTGCATTGAAACGAAACACAAGAATACATACCGTAATCACCCGTATATAAGACCCCCTCCAGTTGTAGACCCCCGGGTCTATAATACGGATGGGGGTACTCTATTCTAGTACATCTGAGTTATACCCCCCTAAACATTACAATAGAGTACCCCACATCCTAGAGAAGTGGGGATTTTACAAAAATGCGATTAAAAAGGCAGAGGCGACACTGCGCGCTGGGCCATCAAACGGTGCCCTGCGCAGTCGTGTGAATACCAAGTTGTGTTCGTGGCCAATGGGAGGAAGCTCCCATATAGGGTTCGTGATGACGTGGGTACGGCCCGTGTGGAGACCAATTCGAGTATCTTTGGGAGGAGCCAAAAACGGAGCAATTTCAAATCACTTCATTGAGCTCCAAAACTAAATTCTTATAAATGCCAATTTGAAAAGACCCGGGTCTTATAAAATATTATAATTTATAAACACACATGTAGTGTTTTTTAAGATTGTGTATTGTGAAAGCGAAGCTGCTTGTACTGCACAATTGGCATCGTCAAAGCGCGCTAAACGCCCTTCTCCAACTACAAAAACCGTGGGTTGGAGCTCATTTCCCTTCACCCACGTTTCTCAATTTTCAAACGGCTCACTCAACATTTTCCGCTCGAGTAGTTTTTCCCTCCAAGCTGGCTAGGATTAAATCGCTTCCTAGAGGCGAGTCACCCTCTACTTTACTCAGCGACATTTTCAACTTCAATCGCTCAACGATGGCACCTACGCCGACACTTAACAACGGGAACTCGTCAACCCCCGCTTCCGACTCCGACCGTAACGCCCGCGATTCTGCGGGCGAACGCCGTAACAAGCGTCGGGCAGAAGACGGACCTTCCGCCCCGACTGCAGTGGACGTGCTGCTGGGCGGGCTCGAGGTCCACAAAAACGCCGAAACCCAGCAGCACCCTTCGGTCCCTGTGGCGCCAGTGGCGCCTGTGGCGCCAGTGGCACCTGTGGCGCAAGTGGCGACGGGGACTGGCGCGGCACACGCGACTGACGCCGAGCACACGCCAGCACCCGCTGCTGGACCGTCGCGTCAGCGTCAGAGGAGGCGGACTGCAGTCTCCTCGTCTGACGCGACCGCCGCCCCTGCGCTGACGCAGGCGTTGACCCCGGACCAGGTCAACGCGCTGCTGTCCCTTCTACAGCAGCAACCCGTCAGCGTTACAGCCGCGGAAACTGCACTACCCGCCGCATCTGCGTCGGCTAAAAAAGAAACTGCAAAAAAGGAGAAAGGCACACGGGGAGCACGGACGAACCGGCATGACAACGACGCAGCGACTGCCGCTCCCCCTGCTCCAGCGGTCGACAACGACACCGACGACTCTGAAGATGAAGCCGGTGAGGCTCCAGTCAACAATGTTAATTTTATTGGCACGGAAAACCTTCCCCCCCTCCCTTCTTCTAATCTTACCTTCTCGGCGGCAACCTTCGTCAACGACTCCGTGCGAGAGCAAGCGGAGCTACTGGAGGACCTGCGGGCGTACCTGCTGCACGCCGAATACAAGGCGCAGCGCGGTGATCCGGCGGGCGGACTCGAACTCATCTCACACGCTCTCAACCTCATCGCGGGGCGTTTCGAGGTGCTTCAAGTGGAGGACGCCTCCGACTTTCGCACGGCGAAGCGCTTTAAGCTGTACCAGCAGAAGAGCCTGCTGACTTCTCGACCCTTCAAGCAGGCGGTCGCGGACATGGCGGCGATGGACCGTGCGGCAAGCGGATACGCTCGTGTCAACCGCGGCGGAAACAACGGGCCGATGTCGTTCTTACCCAAGCGAGGCCCCCCGCCCACGGCCAATTGCCGTGGGTTCCGGGGCTCATGCTTCCGCTGCGGCCAGCCGGGCCACGTGGCAAGTGCCTGCCCTCGGAACGGGCATGGAGGCCAGGGACCCGCTCCGGTGGTGTAGGAGCGGGCCATGAGACTAGGCGCTTGGGCGCTAGGCACGGTGCACTCTTGAGTGCGAAAACCGTGGGCAACCCTAGGGGTTTGCGATGGCAAGAGGCCAGCCCTAGTAAAGGGTGGGATAGGCTTGGGCCTAGGATAGGGAAGGGGAACAACAACCCCTCGGTCCCATATGTTGGCCACTTGGTGGCATGCTAGGAAAGCATTGCTATGTGTGTTGGTTGATTTAATAAAAACTACCTTCCTAAAGGCCTATGGTTTTGGCAAAGAGACTATGAAAATCAAGAGGAGGAGCAGAGAGAGAGAGAGAGAGAGAGAGAGAGAGAGAGAGAGAGAGAGAGAGAGAGAGAGAGAGAGGGAGAGAGAGAGAGAGAGAGAGAAAGAGAGAGAGAGAGAGAAAGAGAGAGAGAGAGAGAGAGAGGGAGAGAGAGAGAGAGAGAGAGATAAGAGAGAATGAGAGAAAGCACAATTGACAACGGTGTCCATGGCCCTAGGCATCAGCCCCTACGCACTAAGGGCAGGCACAACCATGTCCTACCAAGTGGACAACGGGGCAAGAAAAAAAAAAAAAAAAAAAAGGGGAAACGAGGAGAAGAAGAGACATGCGTTGACATGCGTTAACATTACCGACACATTCGTTGACATTTCATTCAATTGTTCATTCTCTTCACACCTTCGATCAATGGTTGCCCGTACAAGTACATGCACACGCATGCTTTAACGTGGAATACTCAAAGCTTATACCACTTGGCCTCAAATGTACAGGAGCACGACGGTGCGAGGCGGCATGCCACGACGATCCGTACGAATTTGCCGTTACAGACAGAACTATTACACACATGCGCGGTCGTCTTCGCGCGACATTTGCGTGGTGGAGCTCATGGTGCCCCAGCAGCCTTGTCCTCTCCGTCATCGCCAAGGGTTACTGGTTGCCATGGAGCCACGGCCCACCGCAACATTTCCACGATCGCAATCATGTCGGGGCAAACACGCATGCCACGTTCACACGTACCGCCATCCAAGAACTCATAGAGACGGGAGCGGCAATTCCGATGGCCGCAACGGAGCTTACATGCATAAGTCCACTCAACGTGGTCGAGCAAAAAGACAAATGCAGGCTCATTCTTGATCTGAGGAAAGTCAACGCCAACTTGATCATCCCCAAGTTCAAGTACGAAGGGCTCAGCCGCGTCGCCGACCTTGCGCGCGTTGGGGACTGGATGTTCTCCATTGACCTCAAATCTGGTTACCACCACATCGACATCCACCTATCGTGCTGGAAGTTCCTTGGCTTTGAATTTGATAAGCGCACATACGCATTCCGTTCACTACCATTTGGCCTCGCGACAGCTCCATTCGTTTTCACGCAGCTCATCAAGCAACTAGCTCGGCGTTGGCGAGAACAAGGCATCCGAGTCGTACCTTACGTGGACGACATCTTATTTCTCTGCCAGTCGAAAGAGGACGCGCAAGCAACTTGCCAGCGGGTGACATTGGATCTTAAAGAGGCAGGCCTTGTGATAAACGCGAAGAAATCACAACTGTCACCATCGCAGCGTCTCCGATTCCTGGGCGTAGAACTCGAGACCGATACCGGCCGATTCTCCATCGGTCCGGACCGACGAGCCTCACTACATGCAACCATCCGGAACCTCCTGAGCGCAAGCAAGGCATGCCGACCAGTCCCGGTCCGCCACGTGGCCAGAATCACTGGCATGCTCGCATCGATGGGTGTCGCACTTGGCGCGACAGCTCGCGCATTCAGCCATGCTATGTTACAAGTGATCGACGACGCACCGTCATGGAAAAGCAGCGTCGTTATCCCCCCATCTGAAGCAGAAGAGCTCCAATTTTGGCTCGAGGAGTTCGACCGTTTCAACGGCGCACCTTTTCACGTCAAGAACAGCTACGACGCGGTAATCCACGTGGATGCCAGCTCTCATGGTTGGGGCGCCACTCTGACCACATTTCCGGGTGGCATCGAAGAAGCTAGCGCAACCATGTCAGAGCCGCTACGAGGAACGTCCAGCACGCGACGGGAGATCGAAGGCGTCCTTTGGGCGCTACAAACGTACGCGAACAAGATCAAGCAAAAACACGTTCTCGTGCGGGTGGACAACCAGGGCGTATTCTTCATCCTTCGCAAAGGCGGCTCTCACAGCCCCGACCTCACAACGGCATGCAAGAGCATCATCCGAACATGCATGGCGCTTGGCACGCGCTTGATCATTGAATGGATTCCGCGCGAGCTCAACACACACGCCGACGAGCTTTCAAAAATGGTCGACCACGACGATTACGCGCTGAAAACGCCGTGGTTCCGGATCTTGGAACGTCGTTGGGGTCCTCACTCCATCGACCTTTTCGCAAACTCCCGCAACACCCAACTGCCGCGCTTCTGTTCAAAGATTCCCCACCCGGCAGCCATTGCAGTTGATGCGTTCTCGATCGCGTGGACACCTGAAAACAACTTCGCCTTCCCCCCACCTCAACTGGTCCCAGCCGTCCTCCATCACGCACAACGCACCCATGCATCACTCACACTGATAGTTCCGCACTGGCCAGGCGCAAGCTGGTGGCCACTCTTGCAACCCTCCCCACGCACTTGGGCACCACACATCCACGCGCACATCCCTCTGACACACGGAAGCCAATGCCTAGACGTAGGGTCCCATTCAACTGCTTTTTCGGGCATGGGACTACCGCACAGCCCAATCATTGCACTGCGAGTGGCATTTGACTAATTCAAAATATATATACACCTTGTGTTCAGATTTGCTCCCAAAGTTACACGACCAACTGATCAACATGCTCGCGCAGTCCCGCGCCGATTCTACGATCCGGACATATGAACCATACTGGGCCAAGTTTCGAGCCTTCTGCACAAAAGTGAACCTTCCATTCCTCCCGGCATCCGACATGACCCTCGCGCTATACCTGGTACACGCAATCCGACGCAAAGCCACCATGTCCGTAGTGCAGCTAACCTGCTCGGCGGTCAGCTTCGCCCATCGCATGACCGGGAGCAAATGCCCGACAACCGGACCGTTCACCACCCAAGTCCGTGACTATGCAAAGCGACACTGCCCACGCCCTACTCGTCTGAAGGAACCCGTCTCGATCCAACAAGTCCAGGAAATGGCCGCGAGCTACTTGCAGTCCGACGATCCTGCGCAATTTCAGAAAGGGTTGATACCCATCCTCATGTACTCCGGATTCCTGCGATACTCTGACCTAGTAGCCATAAAATGGCAAGACATCCAATTCGACGACGAGGTCATGTGGATTCTCATACCACACTCCAAGACCGATCAAGCTGGTCACGGCACTTGGATACCCATTGCAGCAACGGCGGACCCCTGCTGCCCAGTGCGCTGCACCCGACGCTTCATCCGACTCGCTGGCTATGGCCCACGGTCAGAGGGACCATTGATTCGTGTCTTCGGTCACGGTTCAACCAGAGAGGGCCAGGCTAGGCCACCTTCATACACTACGATCCGGAACTGGTGCAAGGAAGCCTTCGCAAAGGTTGGCCTTGGAGAGTTGCAGCTAGGCACCCATTCTTTCCGAAAAGGTGCAGCCACAGTAGCAGCCAACACGGGAGTGCCAGACAGAGTCTTCAAACGGCTGGGCAGATGGCGAAGCGACACAGCAAAGGAAATGTATGTTACGCCATACGTCGAGCCCCTCATCGAAGCCTCCCGTACCCTACAAGATTCGACGCATGCGGTGTCATCGGCGCAACACACAGAGGCACTCGTACGCAACCGGAGGCCCCCGCTGCCCATGTCTCAGAGACCCCATTTGTAATGAGAACGATGCCAATTGATAAGAAAGAAAGCAAGCTTTCTCAATATTATAATTTTTAAACACACATGTAGTGTTTTTTAAAATTGTGTATTGTGAAAGCGAAGCTGCTTGTACTGCACAATTGGCATCGTCGAAGCGCGCTAAACGCCCTTCTCCAACTACAAAAACCGTGGGTTGGAGCTCATTTCCCTCCACCCACGTTTCTCAATTTTCAAACGGCTCACTCAACATTCCCACCACCCACCCCAGTGTAAACCGCCTTGCTAATGCCACTTGGATAGGGTACATAATAGCTAGTGTTATTAGTCCGCACTAGCTTTTGTCGAACGATGATGCAAATGTTGTAATACGCCATTTGTAATGAGAACGATGCCAATTGATAAGAAAGAAAGCAAGCTTTCTCAATATATACCATTTAATTATATCCCCCAGCTTTTTGAGGGGTGATTATCATAAGACCCTAGGGTCTTATACACGGGTGATTACGGTATACCAGAACATCACGACGACCCCGGTCCAGACTCAAAACCATACAGATTCAAAATCAATGCAGACACCCACTTATATCATGGGTCTGGGCCAATCGCTGCACAGACACAAGCACAAGTAAAAGTACCATAATGCTGGATGACCACACCAGTGATGTGCGGGCTGGAACTTGTAAGCACATCCAGCTGCAAGATTATATCTCCTCTTCCAATCAACTGGCAGACCACACCGAGACCCAATATGCAAGCGAAGCGGTAACAGCAAGAAAGTCAGCATCACGCCAACCAGCACACGAGACAAACCACAGAAGCTCAAGTCATTTCTGTCCACTCCTCTTCACTCCTCGTCACTCGGGAAATACTCATCGTCGAGAAACTCGTCATCTGACTGGAAATTTGGCACATATTTCTGGATGGTTTCGAGAATGCGGGCCTTTTCACGTGTGGGAAAAGATTCCACGAGGGTTTTGTGCATGTAGAAGTGGAAGAGAGGGACCACCTGAGCACGCATGGTGTCATATGGGGAGGTCCGGACAGGATAGAGGTACAAAGGGTTGGGCAGAAAGGGTGGGACAGAATGGGTGAGATTGCGAGGACAGAAAGGACAGTAACAAGGGTGGGGAAAGAGGTCGAGGAGGGAAGTGGTAAAGGTTAAGAGGGTAGGGAGGAGAGAGGGGTGAGGCGGACGAAGGGGGAGATGATTCACAGAGTCCGTAACAGTGTCTGTTTAAAAAAACTGATTGGGGAAAGAAAGGTTATGCAGGAATATGAGCTGTGATGACGAATTTGAGTAGCCCACCCAACACGCACACGTGTCCCCACTGAGGTGCAACTGTGGAAAATTTCCTGTCTCCTGCTTTCTTCCTTCATAATTGCTGGCTACAAAGCAGGCATCCAGTCCCGTCTCACCTTAATCCGCAGTGCTTCAGCGATGTCGGATTGCTCATCATAGTCATCCATAACCTGCACCGGTGCCACATGGCAGCCAGCCATGAGAAACCGAAACGGTGCAAGAACAAGTCAAGAGGGTAATGACCGAAGTAGAAAGGGGTCAAGAAAAGGGAAGGTAGGGAGAGGAGGGAAAAGGGAAAACTGGAGTTCTTGAGGATTTGCGTGAGGGGAGAAAAGCGAGTATTTTTTCTTGTACACCACCCCTTCCTTCATCACCTTCCCACTGTCCCAACCCCCCCCTCCCCCCCTCTCCTCCCCCCTCTCCCCCCCTTCCCCCCCTCCTTCCTACTCCCCCCCTCGATTTTCGGCTGTGTCAACATGTAGCAAAACCAGAAGCTGGTTATGTGACGGCAGCGCGCAATTTACAATTGGTGCGTAGCATATCTTCGAAAGGAAGGACATTCGTAATGTCTCAAAAGCTACAAATGGTGCGTACGTTATGTTTGAGAAAAATAACGGGATCCCCCAGATCGCCTTCGGCGCGACACAGTTTCGCAAACCCTTGCTCGATGTACTTGCAGCTCCCGCACGCCGTGCGGAAAAAGTCCACCACCACTAAGATGTTATTCCGGTCCGCGTGCTCTAGAATCACGTCAAGCTCCCTCTGCGATTTGATCTCGCGAACGCACTCCGCCGGACACGTGTCCAAATCCGCTTCGCTTGTCACCTCGCCCTCGGGTCTGCTAGGTTGACGACTGCGGTCTATCTTAATCGCGTTACGTCGAACATTCCGGCGGAAAGGTTGAACAGACGTCCGCTGGGGAGAAAGAGAGAGCGACGACGAAGGAGGCTGAGGAGTCACTTGCGTGAAAAAACTTCTGGTTGTAGAACCCGTGTGCAGGCGTGACGGTGCAAGGAAATGGAACGAAGGATCGGCGAGTGACCATGCAGGGGTCGTGATGAATTGGAAGCCATGAATCTTCTGTACGCACGACGCGGCCAGACTCGAGACAGCGGAAACCATTAGTAGCGACTGCTCCAGCAACGACGAGTGGATTCTAACAAAACAGTGGTGAAGAGCAGAAAGAATGAGTGGGAGCTTACAAAATTTCGAAATTCTTTCGAAAGAGAAATTAGGTCATTTCCAAGATTCATCTCTCAGTGCCTCCCTCCCACCACAGCTCAACAGAGTTATGAATCTGTAGGTGAATGTGAGAGGAGGTGAGGGATGAGGACAAGTTCCATTTGAGTTGTAAGATCGCAGCAACAATTCGAGGATGTCAGTCACTATCAGGACCGACGTTTCTCGATACAAGCGTAGCCAAAACTATCGTAGTGTTCTTAGACATTCTAAAAGCTTCACTACGCAATTAAGTCCGTTTCGATATAAGAGAGGTGTCTATGTAAGCATAATAAATTATAATTTAGAATCAATGTTATTTATAAATTTACATATAATCAGGAAATCAAATACAACAAAGGAAGAAATATGTTGAGGAGACATAAGAAATAATGTCCACTATAAAGAGCGTATGCATTTAGGAGAAGTTGAAATCTTCTGCACTATGGCATGAAATGAAGTCGCGTGTTTTGACGCGTGGGCTGCAGCTCGCGTTTCCTGGTGTGATGAAATCACTTCACTTTGCCCCGCTGGTTGATGCTTGGCCAATCGTGTTTCTTGTCCACTCTGGCAGAGATCTGTAACTGGTTCCAAGAACCAGCACACAGCTGCGCTGGACAATCTATTGTTTGGACAAGCCGCTGAAGCCAATGTGTGGCAGGCTGTGCATGTCTTGTCTCCCCAGACACACGCTTTGAAGGATATTTTCTGGGCAGTTTACACCAGCGAAAAAAATATTACAGCTGTAACATCAACGAACACATGTGTGTCCTGCCCTGACCACTTTCTTTCTCAATCCTTATCGTTCTTCCAGATCCACACAAGACAAAGCTGATGGTTTCCTCAGCGCTCATTCGCGTGCCACTTCGTTTGTGCCGCGTCAAGACTTGATGAACGGCGGAAACTTGAGGAGGGCAGCAAAAGCAGGGTCCAGCGCAGCACTTCTCGGGTCCGTCCAGAACTCAGGCATGTGGCGACGGCACTGTATTAACATTTGCAGTTTGATAGCTCCCGCTACCAAACCACCCTCATTGGGGAAATCCCAATGACCGAAACACATCAACAGCCAAGTACTGTGTGCTATAGCGGCGGTGTTTTAAATGACAGCTGCAACGAGCCTCATCAGGGTCAGAACGACCACAAAGGGTGTCTAGAAAACAAGCCTATCCGCGTCTCACCGAATCGCAATCTTCTGCAGTGCTTTTTCGGGTTGGAGGTCGAATGGAACATGGTCCACGCAAGCCTCTTCCAGCGTTACATTTTCATCCAGCTCTCCCCTTCCAACCCCCCCCCCTCCTCCAAGCCCAAAAAGCCAACAGCGATGGAGAGGAAGAGCAGTGCGTCCCTTTTCATGTGGGGACGAGTCGGCTTCGCATTCGCGAGCAGTGCATTCCTCCATTCCTTCCTACACCACCATCCCATCCCACCCATCCCATCCACACAACTCCACCTCCTCCACGCCCCCCACCCAAGCATCCCTCCCTTCCCTTCCCTTCCCGTCCCACCAACCACCACCACCCGCGTGTCCCATGAACACCACCTGTCTTTCACAACAAGCTCTCCATTCCCGCCCGCCTTATTATAACATGCTCCCCGCGTCTGTCCCACTTGCTCCGTTTTTCCCTTGCATCAACCCCACTGAACTCGATGTTCCCCCCCAACCCCTCAACCAGACACATTCCAGTCGCCCTTCATTCCTAGAGCACGCAATGCAACGGCCCAGCGATATGACTGTAGACTTGGCCTCGCTGGCATTCGTAGACTCAACCCCCGAGTCGGATTCGTTTCTCTCCTCTCCTCTCCTACCGCTCGTTCTGCCGCACTTGCATAGCCCGCTCCGCTCCTTCCGCCCCACCCGGTCTGTTGGCGTTGGCCGTAGTGTACTAATCACTCAACCTCCTCTGGTGTAAATTTCTCTCCCTCCCTCTTCCCTCCATCGAGGCATTTCTTCTTCCTTGCACGCCTGGCCCCACCCAGCACAGCACCTCGACTTCCGCACCGCGATCTCTTGGTCCAGAATCTCTCCTCTGCTGCAATAGTTTCCTGCTTCTGTTCCCTGCATTCTTGTGTGGTTCTCGGCTTCCCAGCTCCCACCCCACCTCACTGCCCACCTATCCCAGTCCAGCTGCTGCAGTTTGTGAAAGTGTTCATACTCATTAGCCCCCAGCATTTTTGGTGACCACGGGCCACGGCTATTTTTAATACAAGCCGATTCCGTCTCCCTTCTATCGTCCACCTTTCAGCAGTTTTGTTCGTAAATCGTCATCCTAGTAGCCCACTACGCATCTCATTTCCGCACCTGGAGCTTCCCGCGTGATTAACCTCTCCACTGTCGACTGTGAGGTTCGACGACCGCTCAAGCCTCGCCTCAACCTCACTTCAGTCGCTATCGTCTCACGAGCATCGCCTCGCCGCCGTCGCGCGCCGCCTTTCCCAAGCCTTCAGGCTCGTTCCTACGACTGTGATCTCATCTAGACATCTAGCCTCATCCGCTCACGCACGGCGAACTCACCACCACCCTCTAGTATTCTTCGACCATCCCTCTCTTAGGCTTTTGAGAAACGGCCGTGCCCCACATGCACTCACACCCCCCGTCCGTCCCTCCGTCGCCCACCCAACAACGTTCGCCTCACTTCTCTCAATTGTAGCGCAATCGAAGACGAGCGTGTAATCCAGTCGAGCACTCGTGGCTGCCCCCCTGACCTAAACCTCCCCGCTGACCTTGTCGTCAGTCGTAATTTTCCCGCTGGCGCCCTTTGCAACCTCCCCCTTCTCGGCCCACCCACCCGGCGCGATCACGGCGCGTCTCCGCGGAACCCCCGCGCAATCGTGGTCTTCCGCTGCCGCTGGTGGCGGAACCACCGGCGCCTCCCCAGCCACAACGTTTAGTGCTGTTAGTGATAATAGCCCCCCTCCGATAAACACTACCGGGTTCTCCGCCGGCTTCTACGGTCGGGCTGCGGCCTCGCGGGTCTCCCGTCGACAGCGCCTGCCGGCGGACCCGGCGGAGGCGGCGGCGGCGGCAGCGGCGGCGGCCGCGGGGGTAGTGATGATGCCGGCGCAGAAGGTGCAGCGGCTGTTCGACACGTGCAAGGCGGCGTTTGCTGGCGGGCAGGTGCCGACGCGACAGGCGCTGATGAGAGTGCGCAGTGCGCTTGGTGAGCATGCAGAGAGGGTAGGGGAACGGGGGAAGGGAAAAGGGGGGATGGGAAAGGAGAGCGGGGAGAAATGAAGGCGGGCGCGCGGGGGGGAGAGGGGGAAAGGGTAGTGGAGAGGAGACGGGGGGGAAGGATGAGCGGGTGATGTGGTGAGCTATTAGTGCGTCGGATATGTTACGAGCAGCTTCAATTCCTCTCCCTCTCTCTCTTACATGTCTCCGCACCCCTCCGATCCCTCTCCATTTCCAACCAACCAGAATGCATAAACCCAGCCGACGTTGCACTCGACGTCGCCACGTCATCCGACTCCTCCGCTCTCCACCGACCAATCCCGCACCGCGCCTCCCCCTCTCCCGCACCGCCTCGCGCTGCTGGCGCCTATGGCCCCTACGGCTCCACCGCCGCCGAACCGCGGTGCGCATCCAGCGGCGAGGTCAGCGGCGGGTCCAGCGGAACGACGTCAATAACCACGTCTATTAATCGGTGCATGCGTGACGCGACTCCGGACCTGCCGGGGCTTCACCACTGCGACCAGTCGAGCGCGGATTCGGGGAGCGCGGTCGCGCGCAGTAATGCCGCTTCCGCTGCAGACTTCGCCAACGGCGCCGGCTCCGGCGGCGCAAGCGCGGGGAGCGAGAGGGAGGCGGCTCTGACGTCGCTTTCCATGTCAGCGGGCGCTGCTGCCGCAAAAGCAGCTGCAGCGGCCGCGGCGGCGGCGGCTCCTGCTGTTCCTGCTCCTCTGGAACGACGAATCGCGCCCCCCATTACATACTTGCATCTCTACGAATGCCCGGACTTTTCGGTACGAATCGTCAGCGCCCCAATTGCTCATGCGTGGAGAATCACCTCACCGTCCTCTGTGTTTCTCTCTTACGAATGAATGACCCACTCTCTGACTGCTACGACCGGCCTCTCCGCCCTCTCCTCCCCGTCCTCTCCCTTCTCTCCCTCACCTCTGTCTTGTGCTGCGTGCTCCACGTTCAACGTCCCCCGTCCACGTGTGCAGATAGGCATATTCTGCATCCCTGCGTCGGCGTGCATCCCGCTGCACAACCACCCGGGCATGACGGTGCTGTCCAAGCTGCTCTATGGCCGCATGCACATGCGCTCCTTCGACTGGGCCTTCCCCTCCGCACCTCCCGCCGCTGCTGCTGCCACACAACGTACGACTGCTGCTGCTGCTGCTGCTGCTGCTGCACGACGTATCTTTTGTTATTATTATTCCGTGGTTTACTGGCCGCCCTTTCTTTCTCCATCTCCCGCTAATAAGACCATCGTCAGTCATCCCACGACCGGAATCGGCCATTAGCCATTCTCCACCCCACTCCAACCTCGTACCCTCCCGTTTCCTCCCTTCCTCCCCTTCCCTGCTTCTCCCCGCCTCCCTCTCTCCCCCTCTCACCCCCCCACCCTCCCCCCTCCCCATTTCCCCTCGCCAGCGCGCCTGGCGGAGCTAGTGGAAGACCAGGTGATAGCAGCGCCATGCCCAGTGGAAATGCTCTTCCCCACCAGCGGAGGCAACATGCACGCTTTCACCGCACTCGCCCCGTGCGCGCTCCTAGACGTCCTCTCGCCGCCCTACAGCGTAGAGGCCGGCCGCCACTGCACATATTTCCGAGAGCTGCCGGCCGAGCAGTTCCCCGCGCTGCCGCCCGGAGAGGGGCTGAAGGAGGGGCGGGAGTATGGGTGGTTGCAGGAGTGCCAGCATGGCAACAGCTTTTCTGTGCGCAGGGGTCATTACCGCGGTCCCAGGGTGCGTTTGTGGGTGGAGTATGGGGAAGGGAGGGGCTGGGAAAGTGGGGGGAAATGGAGGGAGGGTAGGTGATGGGAGTGGATGAGGGGAGAGGTGAGGACATGCGAGGAATGGAGGGGTATGGGAGAGTATAGATGGTTGAATGGAGAAGGTTGTGATGTTCCTAGAATATTTGTGATGTTATTCGCATGGTTATATTGTAAGATGTAATGTTGTAACTGTTGCATCACCATTTGTCTGACGCCTCTCTCTCTCCCCTTTCCCTCCCTGCCATGTGTGTCCTTCTCTGCAGGTTATTGACAGGGCGAGGATGCAACAGAAACAGGCGGAGCTAGCAGAAGCACAGGCGCAAGCTCAGGCTCAAAACCAAACACGAGTGCAGGCAGAAAAGGAGTCAGAAGCACAAGCACAAGCACAGGCACAGACCCAGACCCAGACACAAGGGCAAGTGCATTTCCAAATGCAGATGCAGCAGGTGCACACACCGACTGTTGAACAGAGTTACCTTCACAGCATGGGAGCTCTGCTTGCCTTAGGACCCACAGCTTACCCTGACACGGCTCCTGCTCCCCCTCTACCTCTGACAGTACGGGACATGACTGCTGGTGGCGTGGGCATGGGAGCAGGCGTGACATCAATAGGCGTGAATGGCCCTGTGGCAGGTGTGACATCCATGGGGGGCGTGCGAGGGATGGGAGGCATGGTGGGGGCGAAGAGGAGATGCATGTCGAATCGGATTGCAGTGGCGGAGGAGAGTGAGGATGCAGCCGGATGTGTGGTGGAATCAGAACTGGAAAGCTCAGAGAGGCACCATGACTACCAGCAACTACTACCAGTACATGATCAACAACAGCAACAGCAGCATTAGCAAGAGCTACTGGAGCAACATCTCCACCACCACCGTTTACACGCAGCACCTGCACCAACCCATAAGAATCTGGAGCAACTCCAAGCGAGTGGCGGCTGTGGTGTTAGGAGTTTGCTTTCGTCAGTTGCATGTGTATGTTTGTAATGCATAGGCAGTGCAAATGTAAGTGTGCTCTGTGCATGTTAACGTGCCGGCCGCATTCCTTGTTCTGATCACACAGTTGTCAGATTGGATTGGTTGGTAACTTGGTACACCAATCACTCCTCACCTACCGTAGAAGTTCCAATCAGCTTTGCATACCAGACTGCAAAGTGTTAACCATTACTACCGTAACAATCACCCTTTTAAAACGAATGTCACATCACATGCTATCGTGACACCTGGTCAGGTCAGGATCTACAGCAGAATATGCCATCCAATATTGTGTGGACTGAATCAGTCCTCTTCATCTTCCTCATCATCGTCCTCATCCTTGGCCTTCTTTTTGGGCCTTGAAGCCCAATACACGTCCCAAGCTGTCACACCTAACACTGCAGCACCAGCGAAGAAAGCAAGCGCAGCTGCAGGGTCAGAAGACGGAGGCTCTGCTGCTGCTCTTGCTGCTGCCAGTACAGCCGATTCTGCTGCTGCTGCTGCTTCAGTGACTGTTGCTGCAGCTGGTGATGGTGATGCTTCAGCTTCTAGTGCTGCTGCTCCGTAGGCCGCACCCCCTGTTTCAACCCTAGTGGATGCGGCAGCAACAGGGGCTCCTCCCTGCGTCCCGCCACTCGCCTCTGCACTCCGTGCTGCCTCCTGCGCTGCGGATGTGCACTGCCCAGCCGACCAGGGAGAGGAGTTTAAGGATGAGAGCAGCAGGGAGTGAAGGGTGAGAGAGGCAGGAGTGAAGGGAGGGAGAAGCAGGGAGTCACGGGAAGGAAAAGCAGGATAGCAGAAGAGTATCGCGCGCCAGAAAGCTTTGAACAAGAGGAGCATGAAGGATTCATATCCGTTCAGAAGAACTACGAATCATCCGAACTCTTAACCAGAGAACATTCGGTCGGATGATTCAACTTTGAATCTGGCAACTGAACATCGTTCGCGAGACACACACGGCCTGACAAGGCGGGAATGACACAACGCACAAACACAGAAATCTCTAGACACCATTGGCACGACATATTGCACGTGACGGAAAAATGTAGCAGCGACGTGGCAGATTTCGCAAACGGGGCGGACGTGACGGGTGACGGAGGTGACGGAGGTGACGGAGGTGACGGAGGCGACGGAGGTGATGGAACCAGATGCGTCTTACCCAAGACGTACAGCACATCTCCTTAGCACGGTCACTCAGGAAGAGGATCGTGGGGTTAAAATTACCCAAAACAGCACACACCTCTGATTTCGCCGCTGTGCTTAGCAAGTGGGAGTGGCCGGTTGGCGAGCGGAAGGGGAGGAAAGCGGAAGCAGGAGGGGGAGCAGATTTCCCGGAAAGCCAGGTTCGGATCAAGACGGTGGGCTCGCAATAAACGACTCTTCGAGACGCCGCGCGGAGATGCGCGAGGAGCGCCATTAGCGATGAGGCTGCGACAGCGGATGGCAGTCCATAGGATAGGAGGAACAGCGTGGAGCAGGACAGAAACGAATGGCTAGCCTGGTAGTACTGCTTTCCTTGGTGTTGTCAGTTATCTCCAATGAACGGTGATCCCAGACGGGAGATTCATTAAAAGTGATCATTGCTGGCATGTTGGTACGGTACAGTGATGATGTTCGTGATCACATTCACAACAAAAAGTAGCCTTGCATTGCAATTAATGGAACTAAGACCTACCGACCGCTAAGAAAATAATGGGTCCTAACGCATTTAATTGACCACTATAGTGATTGAGCTAAAATCGCTCAGGCGACACACTGGATTTCGTTTCAGAAATCACTGGTGGAACCCCGTAGTAGGGTCGTCCTGATTGCTGCAGGCGAGATTCCTGAGGGCATCATCTGCATGGGCAGCCAAACCCTCGTTGCTCGCCATGGACGGCTTAGTAAGAGGCCAGATACCAAACCCTTCGTCACCTTGCTCCATAAGCCCCCCCCCGGCTGCGTAGCCGAAGGGAATATTCGGCTCCTCCAAGTGTATTCCCTGATTGCCAGAGCCAGAAGCAGGGGTGGGTGCTGTATTTCTCGACAAAAATTGGCCTGCAGCAGCAATCCGGTCAGGAGTAGGAAGAGAACCCATGAAGACTGCTTGAGAGGCGGCAACAGGGTCAGGCAGAGTGTTGACTGGCTGTAAAGAGTTGAAGGCTGGGACAGCTGGGGCTTGCATGGCGGATGATGATAATCCATGCAGAGGTGGTTGGTTATTAGCCATGGATGCTGCATGTGCCATGTTAGACCCAGCTGAGGCATTAGTATCTGAAGTGAAAAATCCACGGCCAACAGCCCAGAGCGAGGGAGGGACTGTGGATGGATGGTCTCTCAGTGCACTCGCCTCTGCTGCAGCAGCGGACGAGGTCTGCCCTCCAGCGCCCAGTGCTCCTGCAGCCGTCAGATCAGAACGGAAGAGAAAAGTGCAGGAAATATATAAGTCCTGGGTTACCACACGCAGGAACGATTAAAGAGAGCGGAAGCAAGAGCAATAGGCCCGGACAGCCATGTTTCTAGCCTACAACAGTCCACCCAGATCACCCTAAACCCTAATTCTCATCAAAATCCAAAACCCTCGACATACCTGGTAAGCGCTCCTGCTGCTGCAGCGAGTGTGGGTGCGGGGAAACACCAGCAGCCTGCAGCAGCGCAGCAGCAATGTTCCAGTCGACGGAGGGCAGTGCGGGGCTGGCTCGGATGAAGGCTGTGGGGTTAGGGCCGGTCATGAGGGCAGCTGGCTCGTACAGCGCCTGCAGCATTGCCTCGTCGTGTGCCAAGAGGTCTGCTGGCCGGAGGTTCACTGCACCTACTGGGATTGAACGGTAGGAAACGGAAGTACGGGAGGGATTGGAGGAAGAAATGGGGAAGAGCAGGGGCCGGGGGAAAGGTAGGTACAGGGGAGTGTTTAAACAGAGGCATGGAGCACGGAGTGTGATGGATCTTTATCGAATGGTGCAATTGTGGAAATGTGCGATCGTGGAACACGGTGCACATGAATTGTCGCACATTACCTGTTGCTTCGTCCCTGAAAGCTGCTGCTCCCGACAGTCTCCCGCCCTGACCGTATGCACCCTCTCCTGCTGCGTAAAGGGTTGCTTGGAACTCCCTTCCACTGCTACCAGGCGTAGCAGCAGCAGCACCACCACCACCACCGCCACCAATAGCGGCGAATGCAGCACCACCAAAAGCAGCACCAACACCAGAACCAGTATTTCCAAGTCCGCGGTCGAACAAGGCATTCCCAAGGTCAAGATTCCCGACACGAGCCACAGCGTGTGCCAGGCCATGCAGACCCCTGGGCTCAGAGGAGAGCTGGGCGCCATCAATAGGGTGAGACGCAGCAGCAGCAGCCGAGCCAAAAGCAGCACCAGTAGAGGGTGCAGATAGGCTTGACAGTTGAGCCAATGCGTTGCTGTCATGCTCTCCTGCTCGGTTCATGTTGGCCAGCTGTTGCGTGATCAATGGGAGCAGCAACTGCTGCTGCTGCTGCTCTGTCATGGGAAGGCTCGAGTGGAGAGAGGGGTTGGCGTGCGGCGGGAGGAACGACGGGAGATGGTGTGTGGCACTGCTGTTTTGTTGCTGCGCCTGCTGCAGAAACGCTGACGTATGCAAGGACTGGAGCAGGCGGGATGACAGGGAAGGCGAGGAAGAGAACAAGCCTCCAGGGTTTATCTCCGGGTTTAAGGATGCGCCAGCAAAGCTGTCTGTCTGTAGCCCCTTGTGGGAGGCGAGCAGCTGGTGGTTGCTCTGAGAAAGGTGCGAGCCTCCAGCCGTTGCCGCTGCTGCTGCCGCTGCTGCGGACACAGCTGCTACCACAGCAGGAGGCAGGGACGATGGCACACCCACGGCTGACTGCAGCAGCTGCTGCAGGGTGTGATTCTGCACAGCTAATGACATCTCCCCTCCTCTTCCATCTCCCCCGGCAGCACCAGCAGCATTACCACCCGCACCACCAGGAGCAGGAGCAGGAGCAGCCACATGAAACTGGGGCGCAGCAGGAGGAAAAGGAGAGGGAGTAGCAGCAGAAGCAGCAGCAGCAGCGGCGGTGGCAGCAGCGGCGGTGGTGGCAGGTAAAAGGGCGGGAAAAGGAGGGCGCCAATGGGTATGGGAGACTTGCGGGGAGGTTGCAGAAGAGGCTGAGATGGCACTAGGGAGCGAGTTCATGCCTGTTAAAGTCTCTACACTATGTCTATGCCCCTGCGCTTGTGTATATCCATGCCTCTGCTCCTGCCCATGCGCCTGCCCATCCCCATGTGCTTGTGCGTGGCGGTGGTGCTGTTGATGATTCTGTTCGAGCAAATGCATCACCCTATCCATATCTGACCCGCCATTGCCATCCATCACTCCCGCCAAACCCTCCCCCATCCCAGCCCGTAGCGCGCCCCCCATTCTTTCGCCCCCAACGAATCCCCCGCCTGGCGCAAGCCTTTCGTCGTCCTCCTGCGCACTCCGCAGCGCTGACGCGTGCCAATTCTCCGCCATCACTGCATCGTCGGCAGTCGGAGCGCCAGCGGCACCAGCACCGACGGAATGATCCGTTAAGAGCATGCCGCCACTTGCGCTAGTAGTGCTGCTACTAGCGATCGCCCGCAGCAGGCCAATCACCCCCGCCAAGTTGCCGTTACCCGACGCAGCAGCCATCGCCGCCGCATAATCCCCGCCCGTCATCATCGTCCCTGAAGCCGATCCGCCAGATCCGCCGGATCCGACGGTCGACAAGACGCGCAGACTCTCCCACGCGTCAAGCGCGCTAGCGCTTGCGACTTCGAGCCCCGCGCTTGAGCTCCCGCAGGGAAGGCGGAAGGACGACGCCGCACCCGCCGCTGCTCCGCCAGCAGTCGAACCAGCTGAAGCACCGAGCCGAGCGGTGCTGTCACTGGCGAAACGCGCCCCCATCCCACCAGATTCCGACGCGGATCTCCCAAGTGACGTGGCGTCGACACCTCCAGCGGCGCCGCCGCCGACGGCGCTCGGTCCGCCGCCGCCAAAAGCGCCGAGTCGAATTTGCTCTTGCGACGCAGTGCTACTGCCTGTGCCCCCGCCGCCACCACCGCCACCACCGCCGCCACCGGCGTCGGGGTCAAGTAGCAGGTTGTACCTCGCTCGCGAACCGTGAAATACTCTCGCGGCGCGATCGTATGCTAGCGCTGCCTCCCTGGCCGTTTCAAACGAGCCCAGCCACACGCGCTTCCGGCTGCGCGGCTCCCGTATCTCCGCCACCCACTTCCCCCACGTGCGCTGCCGCACTCCGCGGAACGAGTGGCTGCTGTTTTCCGGGCCGCCTTTCACCCCCTTGATCATGCCCTTGGCCCCTTTCCGTATGCGGCGACGCGGCGCCGTCGTCGACGGGCTGTTATTGTGAATTCCCGCGACTGACGCAGCCGCTGCTGATCCTCCTCCAGCTGCTGCTGCGGCTGCTGCTGCTGATTCCGCTCCAGCGCTCGCTCCAGGGGGGAGCGCATACACGCCGCCAGATGCGCGTGAGTCGCCAGGTGCTGGCTCCTTGTCAATTACAACGGGCGATGTGCTGACAGGTCCCGCGCCGCTGCCGTTGGCGCCGCCTGTGTTCCCCCCCCCCCCGTCTCGGCTGGGACTGCCACTCATGCTCTGCCCGCCGCTGCTGCTGTTGCTCCACGACCCGGTCGTGTTCGCGCCGCCAAACTCCGTATCGACGCCGCCGTCAGCAAAGCCTTCAGGATCAAGCTGCCCGAATAATTGTTGCTGCTCAAGGCTTGCCCTGTCCTCGCCCGGGCTCGCTGTTAGCGCCGCTGCGTTTGCGACGGCCCGAGCGGCGGCTGTGGGGAGCTGGGGGGGCGGCATCATAGATTCACCAGCGCCGATCGCGGAGACGTCAATGGCGCTACCATGGAGCATCATGCTGTTGCTACGCTCCAGTAAAGAGCCCGTTCCCATCCAATCCCCTCCCACACTATCGCCGAAGCTTCCGCCTGAGCCTAAGAGCCAGTCCCTTCCCGCCGACTCGTGAAGTTCAGCCACCCGTTCAACCTCCATCATACTAGATTCCGAATGTCGCACCCCTAGTGTCCGGACAACCCCAAGAGGACGCTTCCCTTTGGCCGAGGCTGCCGCGCTCCGTCCAGTGGCGGCACCGCCGACGGGAAGAGCGGCTGCAGCGCTGGACCGTGTCCGAGCAAGCGAAGCGGCTTCGGGGTGAGATCGGCCGGCAGAGACGGAGAAAGTGGGCTCGCTGGTGGATTGCTGATTGTGCGCCGATGGATGGCGATCATGCTGGCCTACTAACGTTGCAGATCGTAGCGCCACGACATCGTCTTGATTCGTGGAAGGATCGATCCACGTTCTACCGTCTGCGGAATACCCTCTTTCGACGAATCCGCGATCGAGCGGTTCGGAATCTAGACAAGCTGTGTTAGTTTCGCGAAAGGAGTAAGGAAACGAGGGGACGAGAAAGGACGTGCCGCTTGGAGAGGTATTTACAAGGGCAGTTAAGGACATGGACGGCGGGAAGGATGAGTCCGACGGTAGTACTATCTGGTCGCGTCCAACGGGTATATCGCCGACCGAGAGAGGAACTGATAGAGATCTCAGTAACGGGCCTTGGAAAGGTCCTAGGGGAAGGTTTTCATGAGAGTATAACTCTTCGGCGCGAGCTTTGCTGTCGGGATCCCCTACTAGCTGATCAGCTTGATCGCTCTTTGCGAATTGGTCGTCCGCTCGCTTCATCGAGGGCCCTCGCAGTAGTAGCAGTAATGATAAGGCGACTACGCTACTTGCAGGGACGTACGGCCCGGGATGCTTACGGATAGTCCGCGGATGGTAATCTGAACCGAGGATAATGTACCCTCGAGGAACGTCGAGTAGCGAAGCGTTCCGTTGGAGAGGAAAGGCTAGCATTCGGCGACATCAAGGCTGGCGTGGCTACTGTAAGGAGCAACTCGCAGAAACGTGAAAACGACTTCCCTCGTGTGTGCGAGCCTCCAAACATCAGGTATAGTGTGTGTGGGTCGGGAACTTGGGGACGGACCTGATCTTGATAACCCGATCGTCTGCAACGATCGGCATCATGCGATGCGTGTGGTGCTTTAGTCGATCGATTACGTGTACAGTTCCACGCCACCCTGGCACTAACCGACGGCTACCACACTATCTTCCATCCTACACTCTGCTTGATGCCTTGACTTATTCCCTCGGCCATCGCTGGCACGCCCATCTGATGGACGACGAGTCGTCGCCGTACCTTCAACCACCGCGATCTTCCATTCCATCCTGACCTCCGAGAAGGAACTAGTTTTGCCACTGACCCCAAGTACCCTACCCCTTCGGAGTTGCGAGGGACAAACCATGTGGTACAGTACGACGTACGATGCCTCCTATGGAACTTACTTCTGACAAAATGGATGGGAGTGACCGGGCACGTCACTGCCGCGGGCGGTGAAGGAAGCCTAAATGGAGGTTTGGATTCTAATGGTTTCTTCGTCTGGGTCTTGAAAAGTAGGTTTGGTACCCACTGTAGGGTTGTGAACCTGTGAAGGCTACTCAGAGGCGGCCTTCTCGCGACGCTGTAGATAGCTCTGAAAGTTGGAACATCGGCTCCATGGGGAAAGAAAATAAAAATTACAACATTGGGTTCTGATTTGAGTTGGCTAGTCCAGATCAAGCGCCGCCATTTCCAACTTTGAGGATTTGCTTCTGATCTTCCGCTTCCAATGAAATCCAAGAGGCGCCGCATTGGCTCCAGCCAATGTTTCAGACCCAGATTCTAGAAAGGCACCTCATGTGAGGCAAACTTCCAGGTCGGTGTTAATTCGTCAAGCGATGCTCCACTACAGAAAGATGCTGAAAAAAACACTACGTTCCACAACAAGCTGCTTGCACACCCTATACTTATACTGTAGGGACCCTGCGTCTCCGTTGGCAGCATGCAGGGGCTGGTGTGTTCTTGACAAAAAAAAGGTGTTTCGAGGTAACGATGCGCGTCAGCAATGCTGTACAAGCACAGCACTGTCAGCCAGGCAGCTGGCCTGGCCCAGGTTCTACAAAAAGAACACACGTGGCCTGATGCCATTCACAAGAGGCCTTTGCCGACGAAATCCCACGAGACAAGTACAGTGTCAATTCTGCAAAGATGAGACAGCCGACGCCGCTAGAGCTGGCAAATCATCTTCGGCACGCGGGTGACAAAGCATCCAGAATCTGCGAACAGTGCCGATATGTTTTGATGTCCGCATCTGCAGGGTGTGTGATTTCGAATTCCCCTCTAAAGAGAACCTCCTTTTCCTTCTCAACATACGAAGTAATGAAAAACAGCGTTTAGACAACCCTTACTGAGCATGAACCCTCACAGTCCTTTATCTTAATGACAATGACAATGCCGCCATGGCCATGGCGGAGAGCTTTAACTCGGCCAATGTGTATCAATTTCTCGCCTGCTCCTGACATTGAAGCAATGAGACGATGCACGGCTTTAAGCTCAATGCAATGGTGTGCTTTTAGTGTTCATTACGATAACCTAAACACAACTTTTTTGAGTTCCAGGCTATCGTCTAAGCATCATCCATTGTCAAGCAAGTTTCCTATATAAGGCCTAAATCAACATTACAAGCCTCTCCATGGGGATCATCGCGTTAATCAGCCTGCATTGGGACCATTTCGCATAAAAAACATGGTCTACATATCCCAAGGTTCATCGGAGTTCAAGGGAGCCAGTTACCAAGGCAGAATGCTATCCTCCAAGGACTCGGAGACCTCCTCAAGCCTGGAACTGCAACGCTTTGCTTTCAAACACGGGAAATATAAATCGTCAGAAGTTAAGGTGCTTAGATCAGCTTTTTTCGCGGCCATTCTCGGCCTGCCAAGCTGTTCTCATCATCGCACAATGGGGAAAGGACGCAACAACAAGTCTGGAAAGAAGGCTGCAGAAGATGATCGCGACAAGGAAGCGGTGGTTGACGTACCCGACGTACCTGCGTCGGATACTGCAAGCAAGGGCTGGGCTTCGTCTTCATTACCTCTGGCGGTGATTGGTCCGTTTGAAGACCTGCTGGATCTACAGAATAAGACTGACGATACCGCTGAACCCGGCAAAGATGATGCTGCAGGGGAAGAGGAGTCAGACAACAAGGACCAGAAGCCTGACGGGGAAGAGACTGACGCTGATGCTACCGCGGATGATGACGGTGACGATTCTGCGGATCCGGTCCCTGACGACGAGGATGACGGCTATCTGAGTGACGACTCTGATGAATATCTGGATCCTACCTCGCTCAACAGTGTTATTGCTTTGAAACGCTTTTCACTAACCTTACTGGTGCCGATCCTCAGGAAAGCGGAGGTCAAGCGTGCCGCCGTAACGATCGCGGCCCTGTTGGACGACTATAGGGAGCAGCTATCTCCTGACGTGCTGCAGACGACGACTTACCAGGAACTTACGGCGACGTATTTTTCCGGCACACGTTTTGGCCGTCTCCAAGTCACCTTCGACCACGTCAGGGATGCAAACTTCGTCTGGAATCAATTCATCCGTCATGAGTGTGCGAACGGCAAAATCATCGATCTCACCTGGCAAAATCCGGAAGACGCGCGCTTCCTCCGTGAACGCGTTCTAAACCCGACGACGAAGGAGGTAGTGGTCAAGGGAGTTACGGCTGAGATCACCGACGAACTCATCCGCCATCTGTTGGTGGTGTCCAAGCCGGTTAAGCGCGGCAGGAGCCCCTTCGCCAGTGGTTTTGGTTTTCATCGCATGCTTGATCCAGTCACAGGGCTAAATACTGACCGTATTCGTGGTTTGGTTATTCCTCATGCTGATGACGAGTACCGCTGGAGATACTTTGTGGAAGACCCATCGACAGGGAAACGTTACATGCTGCACTTCCCGTCGCTCACCCGTGAACTCTGCAGCGGTCCGCTTCAGTCTCGCTACCACGACCATCACACTGTCGCGAGGGAGGAGAACTTCACCAACTGGAACCTGACGGTAAAAAAGGTTCATGAGATGAATGGTATACGTCGACGTGCTCACCACCTCCCACCTTGGCAATCCTTACCGCTTGACTTTCGCTTCCTGAATCATAATGACGGCTCTTTTCCTACCTCCCCTCGCAGTTGCATCCCTGAAAGCATCAGCACAAATGAAACGTATCTTGAAGGACCCCGCTGTTGTACTCACCTCCACAGGAGGCATGCGGGAAGAGTGGGTGTGTGTGCAAACCGTGTGCGAGAAGGCGCAGGGGAAACGCTTTGAACAGGCGGCGGCTCACGTAGCATCTGCCAGGCACAAGGGAGGGCTGCGGAAAGACGGAGCTGCAACACGTGCCAGCAAACACTCTCAGAAAATGGCCGCTTTCAAGAAGGACTTCATCGTCAAGCCTGCATCAAAGTGACCGGAGGCTCAGTTGACAACACCTGGATGGAACTGGATGTAGCGGCATGTTAGAATCTAGCAGCAGGAATGGATGAACTATGAAAGTGTTGGGTACAAGTATGAAACCCTAAAAGGGGCTGTACCCCATATTGGCTACCCCACTATAGCCTACACATATATAACATGCATATACTTTGACACACCCCCATAGGTAAAGTGGGGGAGAGCAAGGGGTCCTAAGACCAATCAAGAGAAGCAAAGCAAGCTCAGGGTGGATCACAACGTCACCACACACACTGAGCACAAGCAAAGGGCCACAAGGCCAGTTCACATGCAGAGGTATATATGCAATAACAGCAGCACAGTGATCTCTACCTAGCAGAGCAAGCATGCATGTATATATATAGATCACAATACAAGAAAAGTCTACAGCAAGTGAGGAAAAGTGGGCACAAGGCCTAACAAAGTGCAGAAACGCTGATGATCACCAGACGGAAGTGCCTTGGTGAATATATCAGCAGTGTTGGCCCGAGTG